TAACAATTTTACCTGACCCTTTTCTTAAGATAAAAGTTCGTAAAACACTGTTCTTTTTTATAAAAGATTTAAAATTGACTAAAAGTATTTGATGCCTCCTGTCTTGTACAATACTATGTCGTATATTAAGTCTTTCGAAATACAAAACACCACTTTATTCCCTTTTTCTATTTTGGAGTTCAAGTTAATAAAGAGTGAGAGACAGAGACAGAGAGAGAGAGAGAGAGAGTGAAGAGAGAAAGGAAAAGTTTCTAAAAAATCGTTTTACAGGACACGCCGCGTGGAGAGGTAATCGGTACGTCAAAGACAACGACTACGCAGTGGTGTTGCTCTATGACGTCAACGGCTACATTGCAGGCATCCAGACATCCGTGAGCATTATTATTTCTTACAAGTGCACTCTAAAACCAACGTGATGTTTAAAGATTTCCAACAAACGTTTTATTAGTTGATGGCATGGTCAGTGACAATAAGTCAGTATTCAGTTATTGGAAAATAGGTGGAAAATAAAAATTAAGTCTGAAAAAAAAAAGAATTCCTGATTTCATGCCATTACCCCAATCGTTTTTCACAGAAATTATGCGAAATCCGGTAAATAACAAGTGAAATGTGTCCTAGAATTAAGCCTGTGTTGTCAGTTATCAGCAATAGGCTTCTTTTATTTCAAACGGAGTTGGCAGGATACTTCAATTACCACTTACGCACACACACGCACACACACACACACACACACACACACACACACACACACATACACACACGCACACACTCAAATACACACACATACACAGACATTAACAAATGCACACACACATACACACACACACACACACTCTCTCTCTCTTTCTCTCGCTCTCTCTGTCTCTCCCTCCCTCTCTCTCCTTCTCTCTCTCTCTCTTTCTCTCTCTCTCTCTCTCTCTCTCTCTCTCTCTCTCTCTCTCTCTCTCTGTCTCTCTCTCTCTCTCACACACACACACACAAAAAAAAACCCCACCTAATTTTCCTGTCAGTCACCGAAACTAAACAGGTCACAGAATTTGCATAAAGTACTTTATTTTTCAAATGAGTGCATTTAATATGATTCTTAATATGGCTTTCAAATGTTTTATAATTTAAAATTTATCTATATATATATATCTATATATATATCTCTCTCTCTCTATATATATATATCTATATATATATATCTATCTATCTATCTATCTATCTATCTATCTATCTATCTATCTATCTATCTATCTATCTATCTATATATCTCTCTCTCTCTCTCTCTCTCTCTCTCTCTCTCTCTCTCTCTCTCTATATATATATATATATATATATATATATATATATATATATATATATCAGATGCGGCTCGTGGGGCTAAAAAGTGGACGTGCACAATTAAGCTATCGCATGCTGAAGATAGTCAAGGGCATAGTAAATGAGACAGAGTATAATTTTAGGATCTTTGGGTTGGTGAGGGAGGACCTCGTGCTTTTATTTTCGTTCTTTTTACTTGACGGTTTGATTTCTAGTACTAAATTTGTTTGTTAGCTAAACATCAATTTCGTTCATCCTGTATTAGAACTGAACACTCTAGTCATAACTTTCACTACTCCACTACAAAACCATTCAAAGGCACAACTCATAGGATCGTCACGTTCACCTCCCTCAGGTTCACGGTCACAGATTCATTTAAAATAGTGGCAAGGCAGACAATGAACCTATCACAATTCACTTGAGCACTCCGCTGGATTGCTCCTGGGCTCACATAATATTAGCAAAGAATAGCGTACGGTCTATCGCGTTTATTTTTAGACTGCCTACTGTGGGCTATGTTTCGGCACTGTTCGGCGGGGGCACATTTGAGATGTGCCGTCTTATTAATATTAATGTACCGCCAAACTCGCTACGAGTGTCGTCAACGCTTGGGTTATCCCCAAGAGCGATTTATAGGTCCGGATACACTGTTGAATATTCTATTATGTTTAGCTAAAGCGCGTGGACTTTGGCATGGCATAGTAGATGTTTTACGGCGCTCTAGAAACAGAAATGACAGGTATGGCGCTAGTGATGACCTTGTTTTGATATAATATTTGGCTAGTGTTTGTCCCTGGCTTCTTTTCTTTTATTATTGTGGGTGTTTTACGTAATAGAACACAAAAAATGTTGATCGGCACTGCACAACCATGCTCTATGGACGAACCGCGCCTGATATATATACTATATATATATAGATAGATAGATAGATATATATATATATATATATATATATATAAATATATAATAGGGGCCCCCCCGCTCCGGGAAGGGATAGAGAAAGATTTTTTTTGATTGTCATGTGTAAAATAA